TACGCGATTTATTTAATTATTTTGAAACTTTTTGGATGACAGACATACCACTTCATCTTTGGAATGTGTCTGATCTTCAAATTCGAACAAATAATAATTGTGAAGGTATTTATACACACTTGCTTAAGCACTACTAACACAACTCTTTCAACAAAACTGCTGAAAAAATCCTAATCTTCGGCTAACTTTTCTTACGTTCATCAAAACATTCTCTCTCGGTTTCTAGGTTGGCACAATAGATTCAACATTCGTGTGAATAAACATCATCCAAATATATGGCATTTTATCAATTGTTTAAAACAAGAAGAAGTCTATTTTCGTCATCAAGTAATGCAAATGCGAGCTGGTGCAACTGGAAGACCAAAAACAAAAAAGACAAATTGTGTACAACGTCGTATTGATACTCTTCGTGATCGTTATGAAAATGATGAAATAAATTTAGAAGAATATTTAGAAGGTTTATCATTTGTTGCTGCTAAAGATAAAACAAAAAAAATAAATAAAAAATGATTGATTGTTAGATATTTTTTGTTAAATTACTGTTTGTGTAAAATGATAAAAAAAATAGTTTCGCACATTTTTCCTTTCCCCGACAACATTAACACTACTAAGATCTTACACTTGCCATCTTCGAACTTTTCGACATTTTCGCTTTTCGACATTTTCGGTTTTCGACATTTTTCCTTTCGACATTTTTAATTTCGACATTTTTCTTTTCGACATTACTCAGGCATACCGTGCTCTCAATCGCTACCAAACTTTGAGAAAGGAAAAAATTTTGTCGCGAAATTTGAACCGGTGATAAAAAATCATTAATTAGTTGCGTGGTTAATGCCGGGTTGATGTTTAATGAAGGTTAATTGACAGTTTCTTTACGGTTAGCTAAACATGAGGAGATCCTCTTTCTGAATAAACGTTCAATGAGCACTAAAGTTCATCTTTTTTCTGAATGATTAATACTCTTTTGCACTTGTGTATATTGAAGCTATGATTTTATAGATGGAAAACACCCTCGCAGAGGTAGTATGAAAAAGAAATGCACGCAGCAGAGTTAGTATGAAGCATTCGAAGAAGTCAAAAACATTAACCACTATTTTATCCGCCATACGATCACATCGAAAACAAGAAAAATTACGAAATGTTGCCTCATTTCACTCTTTTTCTTTATTGTGTAACCCCTTCTCTGAATTCCTGTGAAAGAGGACGAACAAGGAGTGAAAGTTTGTACGGGAGATTATGCTGGAAATCTAAAAATTTTAAAGCTAATGGGGACAAGTTAACGCAGACGAACTAACGCTGACAAGCTAACGCGGATAAGTTTGAGCGAGTAATGTATATTAACCGATGGCGTTCAATTATACCTTAATCGAATTAAAACAAATTAATGTAAACGTACGCACTCGAGGTATGGGTTTCATACAGCTCCACCTTGGTCCTTCACGTTTGAATGGAGGAGTTACACTTTAGACCCAAGGTCTGCGCTGATAAGCTTTCTTTAGTATGAGATTTTTTCTCTCGGTAAGTGGTCAAAAAGCGAAAACATTTCAATTATGGGGCTGGGTGGGATGTTATGCATACACTCCGAATTGACCGTCCTGCTCCATCTACCGGGTTTCTGAATTTACAAAAAATTTCTTTTTGTCAAACATTTTATTGGTAAAGAGGATAAGTATCTACCAATAATAAAGACTAAAACAAACCAAGAAATAAGCCGGTTTAATAAGATAAAAGACGCACAAACAAATGCAGGTCAAACAAAATAAAGTCGAAAACAAATAGAAACAACACTGTGAGATAAAGCAAAACAGTTTTATATAAAATGAAAAACATAAAAAGACGTTAAAAACAAAAAAATTAGAAGAGAAGAAAATTGACGTCGCCAGCCTGACAGATGTTACAGTATTCGATGTTATTTAAAAGAGAGAACTTTTGATGTTAATACAGAGAGAGAGAGAGAGTATTTCTAACTGGTAACATGCACAGAGAGATAGAGAGAGAAAAGAGAGAGAAAGATTGTACATCTAGATGTTTCAAAAAATTATTGTCGAACACATACACACACATATACATGAAAACAAACATTTCAAATTTTACTTGCTATATCCATCATCAGGTGATTGTCTCTGCTGAGTTAAATCTAATAAAAAAGTTGGTAGACTTTGCTGTTGTTGAACAATATCACTGAACAATCCCTTGTTCATCTGTTTGAATTGATTTGATGAACCATATCCAGAACTGACAAATGGTTGCTGGATGGTGATATCGGCTAATGGTTGCATTTTGCCACTAACATAAGATTGGCTGCCATATTGACTTTTTGATGGGCGAACGAGATCGTTGGATAATCCCACGTCACTTTGTTTGAATTGACTTGATGAACCGTATCCAGAACTGACAATTGGTTGCTGGATGCTGATATCGGCTAATGGCTGGACTTGACTACCACTATAAGATTGTTGACTGCCATACTGACTTATTGATGGGCCAACGAGATCATTAGATAATCGCATGTCGCTTTGTTTGAGTTGCTTTGATGAACCGTATCCAGAACTGACAATTGGTTGCTGGATGCTGATATCGGCTAATGGCTGGACTTGACTAATACCATAGGATAGTTCAGATGTGGGCACTTGTTGTTGACTTGAATAGGAAGTCACATCACTGAAAAAGTGAGAAAGTGTCTAGAACTACCACGAAAACACAGATGAAACTCGCCGAACACATCAGCTATTGTCGATCAAAAATATGGCGAAAGGGATAACTTACTCGAATAATTTTTCTTTTTGGATGAAAGTTGGTTTCTTTTGCTGTTTTCGTCTGTGCAGTGGTTGTTCTCGGGGTGATTTCTCTCCATAATCACTGTTTCGTTGACTTGATAAGTCAAGTGATAGTCGTTGATTCGAGTATTGTGGAGCTGAATATGAATCGATGCCTGATCGTCGTTGTGTTAGATCAGATAGTTGACCATATTGAGGTGGTGGCACTTGAATGTTGCCTTTTGAATAGTATCCTAAAACGAAGAGAAAAGAGATTAATAAGTTTACTATTTGCTTTTCAACCACGAAATCTTTCTCATAAACGGCAATATTTCTCACGCTTATGAATATGAAAAGGAGTGTGATTTTTTGTTGTCGACATTGACTCATATGACTTCTTTTTCGAATAAAAGGCTTTAAACCTTTTAGATATACCTTGAGATTGATCTTGAAGCTGAGTACCAGGTCTTATACATGTCTGGATGGAATTATCCCAAACTAATTCACCTGGACACGATTGAATATAAAACTGACTACCATCGCACAAGATAAAACCCTTATCTGTGAAACCAAGAGGACGTGTTCCATCGCTACCGCATGGATTTGGATATGCTAGAATAGATATATAAGAATTAGTATATAATGGCATCATATCTCGTTCGATTGGATCGTAGATAATTTCCTAAAAACTTCGGAAAAGTACAAATAAAATATATATCTGACTCCTCTCGTTTTGGAAACGTTCTAGCCCCATTTTTTAGCTATCGAGCCAGAATGTTTATCAGAATTTATTTACTCTGTTGGCAATTTGATCCATATGAAAATCCAGGACAAATGCAAACGTATGGTAATGCGGCACCATATCGAAATCCTTGGCACAATCCTTGAGTTCCACATGGTTGTTGATTACAAGCACGACTGTCAATTTCACATTGTACACCACTGAATCCTTCCACACAGTTGCATTTGTATACTGATGGTCCATCTTCTGAACATTGACCTCCGTTGAGACATGGGTTCGAGGAACATGGTGGCTCAAGGGTATCAGGCTCTAAAAGAAGAGAAAATAGCTTAGGAAAAGGAGTTTATTTTTAATATGACCTACTTCTTTCACATCTTGTCGCTAATGAATTGTAATGTAAACCACTTGGACAATCTTGCTCAACACCTTTAGCCGTATCAATACAGGAAATGAATTTTCTTGTTGTTGATGGATGTACTATTACACTGCCTGGTGCTCTGCCTTGACATAGTTGATCTACAAATCAAGCAAAAATGAGGTTTGCTTTATTCATGAAAAACTTCTCTGCATTCTTACCGGCGAAACTTAATGGAAGTGTCTGATCAACTGTTGTTGGAACAATAGCTGGTTGGTACATATTTGAATATGCCGTTGTTTGGTAATTCTGTGGTAACCACGCTCGTTGCGTTAAAGTCATTGGATTGTATTTGGGCGCGGATAAATAATTCCATCGTGGGTTGTCAAGTGCCAATCTGGAATAGAATTGTGATGTTTGATATGGCAATTGTCGTCGTCTTCTTCTTTTGTTATAGCCATTTTGTTGTGGCTGGGATTGTTGATATTGATTATTCAATAATCGTGAGTTAACAGGTTGTGATGAGACAATATCGTTCTGAATATTTTGACGCGAAATTCCAGATGATCCATATCCATAACTCGATGGTTGTCTTCGTTGACTGGAAAATGAGTCAGTCTTATCAGCAAATGATGGGCGTTTTGAATACATGTTCATACTACTAAGTGTTTGTGTTTGTTGATTTGGTGACATGAAACGTTGTGAATTATCTGACAGTTGTCTTTGCTGATTGGCATCATAGCTATTTATTTGTTGCTAGATAAAAACAAATAAAACCAATATTAGACAGCTTATCTCTCTTGTTTTATTCAGGACTAAAGAACTATCCGAAAGTATTATGTTTATTCTATTTCTTCAATGCCAGCAACTCAACTAAAAAAAGTATGTTATCGTGTGGATACAATTTTTTCTTTTTTACTATTTTTTAAGCTAAAAAAGGAAAATTCTTCCTGGCATTTTTTCTACTCATTTTTTGTAGAGAAAATCTGACGAGTTAATTAAACAGCAGGTATGACTTCCAAACAATATCCACATGATATCTTTTTTTAGCTCTCTACCTGTATTGGTCTTGAAACAATATTGTTATTCGAACCACCATTGGACTCTTGTTCATACTTATTTAATGGTCGCTGTTGTTTAGATAAAATACGATTATCGACAATCTGTTGTGATTGATCGTCAAGTGACAAAGATTGAATCGAAGGTTGAACAAAATTTTGCTGATACATTGGCGAACGTTCTTGACCATTTTGCATTTGTCTGCCATAAGAATTTATCTGTTGTTGCTGTCGTTGTGGAATAATTCCGGAATATTGATCTAATAGCGGACGATTTGAATATGAATTCACTCTATTTGGTTGACCAGATGAATATTGTTGAATTGTTGATAGTCGTCGGCTATTTGATAGTCGTTGAGGTGCGAAAAGGATACTTTCACTTGAAGATAGTGGTGATTGATATTGAATCAATGGTTTTTTAACAGCTGAGGTTACAGTTAGTTGTTCGGTGGCCGGTTTTGCTGGACTTGTTTCAACACGATCGCACGTTTCCTTTTCTTGATTCCAGTATAAACTATATGGACATGGAAGAAAATAAATTTTTTCACCACTACATTGAACATAGGCGCTGGAACTAAATGCGAACGGGAAATATTGTTTATCATTACTGGTCATACATGGATTTGGAACAGTATCTAGAGCACGAAAGCAATGATCTTAGATTTAAAAGACAAGTTCAAATTTCGTGCCAAAACCTACTCTTATCACAGGTTAATCCATACGATTTTCGTTCATCACAAACACATGCATAATCTTGTGAATAATCTTCTACTTTCAATGTAATACACTCGGCACCTTTGCCACATGGTTCATTGACACAACTACTAACTGGCGTTTCACATCTACCACCAGTATACAATTCTCGACATGTACATTTGTATTCCGTTGGTGATGTTTCATAGCATTGACCATCGTTCATGCACGGTTTTGATGCGCACAATCTCTCTACATCTGTCTTCTCACATTGATCACTGGCACTATTGTATACTAAACCACTTGCACAATCCATGATTTCATACTTGACTTCATTTAAACATGATAAATATTTTGTTTTATCCGTTGGATGGGCTACATTGACTTGACTTGCTTTACCCATACACGGTGAGCCTAAAGAAGACAAAAAGTGCGACCGTTGAGTGTAATTCTTTCTATAAACCGCTTACTATCAATTGGAATTGGAATTTCAACTTTTTTCTCTGTTGTATCATATTGTGGTAAACGTCCGCTAAGGTTATTCTCTGCTACTGTTGGTGTTGTACTGTATTGTCTTTTACGTCTATAATAATTATCATTGTAGTTATTGGAATTATCATAATCATATGACTTTTTGTAGCGATCGTAATCTCTATCATAACTAGAATCAACCAAATAATCACTGCAATATCTGAAATAACCAAAATAATTTTCTGTCTTACTTAGAATCTTTATAGCTTTTATCATATCCTCGACCATAATCTTTTCTGTAGCCTAAAATATCCAAAAATATATGAACGAGTCTAACACGTAAGTGAAAATCAATAACTTACTCCGGTCATAATCTTTTGTATATCCTCTATCATAATCATCATCATAATCTCGATCGTGATGGTGATGGTGATGTTTTCGACGATTAATACCGTACGGTCCATTGAAGATACCTGGAAACTCTCCTAATGGAAAATTTCCTGGAAATGGAAACGGTTCCGGAATTGGACCTAGAAATTCACCACCGGGAAAGCCACCTAGAAATTCACCACCATAACCGCCTGGGAAGCCACCTGGGAAGCCACCTGGGAAGCCACCAGGGAATCCACCAGGGAAGCCACCTGGGAAGCCACCAGGGAAGCCACCAGGAAATCCACCGGGGAAGCCACCAGGGAAGCCACCTGGGAAGCCACCGGGGAATCCACCAGGGAATCCACCAGGGAAGCCACCAGGGAAGCCACCGGGAAAGCCACCTGGGAAGCCACCGGGGAAGCCACCGGGAAAGCCACCGAGGAAGCCACCTGCAAAGTGCAACAAAGAGCTGTTTAAAAGATGCTCCGCTAAATCACACATAATTAAGAGCAATTGGAAGGAGGAGCTCAATGAAAAGGTTCCGTTCGAAGTAGAAGTTTTAACGAAAGATTTTGTCTCACCTAAAACTGAAATCAATAACAACTGTATTTTCCTTTTTAGAGCTATTTGTAAAATATAGAAAGCGTTTCCTAATTCAGAAGAGATTTTCTATTTTAACTTTCTGACAAGAAGATTTTCGGTTGTATTCTACCATCGTTCACCAAAAAACTTACCAAGCGGAGGACCCGGTATATATGTTGTCGGAATACTGAGCGGTAGCGGAGGTAATGGAGAAATTGGAGGCGGAAGCGGAATTGGTGGTGGTATCGGTATTGGTGGTCTGAAATAATAAACATTGACTGAGTTCGTGAAACGATGAAGAGCGAGTAGTAAATGAATACTTACGGATATGGGAAGCCACCTGGTATTATTCCTGGTATGCCTAAAGAATATATCTGTAATTATCGAATACGTCTTACTACAAAAATAGGTCGGCCTTAAGCTAGCAATTTGCTATCTAACTCAGCGACGCGCTTGGCCAAGGTTAAGCCCTTAAACAGTTTGATTTATCCAATCCGCGTTAAAAAAATTTTTTGATTGAGGTCTAAAATAAAAATACTGTTTATTTCAAGAACATTTTTATAGGTTTTCGTATTCTTCAATTCTGACTGCTCCGTACTCAAATATAAATTCAAAAAAAAAGTCCTGTCACATAGTTAAGTAAGAAAACTTGGAAAATATCGGGTGAAAAGAAAATCGATTCATCCTTTAACAAAACTCTGTGTACATTGCTGCTCTAACTGAGAAAACTATCAAAGTGCCATTTTGCATTCTCAATATAATATGTAAGAAAAAGTTACTCGGAAGTAGAAAATATTTGTTAATGAATTCTGTAAATGTTATAATATCATTGCTTGTAGGAAAACAAAGTAGATTTTCTGCAACTCATATCATGCCACTAGTTTTGAATAAAACAATTTAAACTTACCAACAGGTCCGGGAAGACCTGGTAACCCTGCATAACCTGAGAAGCCAACTGGACCTGGTAACGCTATTGGACCAACTTCCAAACCAGCTCCATATGGAAATGGGCCACCTCCAAATCCATAAGGACCCATAAGTTGTCTCTTTTTACGATCTGATGGTTGTCGTTTCTTTCGACGCCACGGACTAACGCTATTAGTCGAGAATGATGATCGAACGAGGGATGGTACATTTCGTTGATCACTGCTACTAACTAACGATGATTGTTGTCCATAACTGCCTGAGTTCACTGGACTCATACCATAAGTTGACGAAGATGACGTATATGGTTGCTTATAGCCTTGTTGATTTGTGTTACTATATCCTGTTGACTGACTTGAATAACTTTTTGATGGACCACCGTAATCATTGTTGTTGTTATATACTGTTTTGCTTGTTGTATATCGAAAATCTGGCCAATCACATACGTCAATAATGGGATTCCATATGAGATTAGCTGGACAATTCTTGATAAACATGCGATCGAAAGCACATTGAATATAACATGATGGTGTACCAGGCAATGGATAATACTGTTTTCCAGAAGGAGTGCATGGATTTGTAGCAGCTGAAAAGGAAAAACTCGAACTTTCGAAACACATGAGTTTGATTTTCAAGTAAATTCTCTTTCGCAATCTTGCAAAAGATATTCTTCTATAATCAAGCACTTCACCTTTGAATTTAGCACAATAAAATGATACATGAAACACACTTACTGGTTGGACAGTTATTTGGATAAAGTGAACCATCTGGTAAAGCATTTGAACCATACGATGAGTAACTATTCGAGTTTGAATAAGATGGAGCATTCTTATAAGATGAAGAATAGCTGGAATCGGGCGAATTTGAACCATACGATCCTAAATTTGAGATGAACATAATTCATTAAAAATTGAAATCATACAAAAGCCAGCTATTATAGGGCAAAACTTATTATGTGTTCCCATTATAACAAAAAAGAGATTGCTTTATAATGTAATAAAGTAAAAGATGTTTACCACTTGGGTAGTTAACCACAGGTTTGTATGACGATCCACCTGCGTTGTATAATGGTGTTTGCTGTTGTCCGTAGTTGTTAGAACTTGCTGCATAATTGTTAGCTAAAACACACAAATACACATCAGTGGTTTGTGATAGATTGAGCTGAAAAATAGTTTCTTACAGAACATTCACAACTATTCTAAAGACTCGCTCTATTTCATAGAACACGCCAGGCGCTCAGAGTGCTGTTCCATGAAACGGCTCATAATTAATTTTTGTTTTTAGAATAACTCTCACAATATGTACTCAACGAACACAACGCAGTCTTTCGAGGAGCTTTTCAATCTTTTGTGAATCTTTTTCCTCGTCTCCTCGGATTCTTCAATAAGTTTGTTTTATCTGACATTCAAGAAACCAAAGTAGTTATGGTCTTTAGAAGAGATGAAAGTTCTGTAACTTGAAGAAAATCGAAAACTTTAAAATACCTTGTCTTTTTCTTCTGCCCGAATAACCCGATGCAGATTGACCTTGTCCGTATATTGATCCAGCAGAATTATCACCAGATGAAAAGCCACCTGAATTAAAAAATAATGATTGAATATTATATGTATTTGAGTTTGATGAATATTATGAAATATCTTGAGATGAGAGAGTGTCTAAGCAAAAATCACCTATGAAAAAACTCTAGATACAATTCGTCGTCTGTAATCGAACGATGAACAAATAGTTGTCATCTAGATTACTAGTTCGAAAAGGGACTTTTAACTAGATACGTCTGCATGTGCAGCTATCAATAGTTAAATCGAGCGATTATCGAGAGATAAATCAATAGTTACAACTGAGGAGAAATCTAGTAATCGCCCAATTAGTCGATTTCACTGTCGTTATCAAATAATCGAGTAAATATCTAGTAATCTAGATGAATCGGATGATACTAGATTTTTTTTATACTTAAGTGTAACTATTGAAATTTCTTCTATAATCATTGAATTCTGCTCTAACAGCAAGATTTGTGAATGATGATTGAGCTCCAAATGAATTAGAACTGGAATAGGGGTGGAATAGGGTAATATCGAATATCCAGTACGACTACCAATATTGGATTGTCAAATAATTACAGCGGAGGTGATTCGAGATTGACTTGAATAACTTGAATCACCTCCGCCGTAATTATTTGATAATCCTGATCTAACAATATTTGTGAATGCTGATTGAGATCCATAGTTGTAAGATGGATTGTTCTGAGGTGGTGTTGCATAACTGGAACCACTGTTTGAATCATGGTGTAAATTTCTACTTTAATTTACACTTACCGACTACAGCATTATTAGCCGATGACAACCCACCTGAATTGTAGGATGGTCGAGTTCCATAATTGTTTGGAGCTGAATAAGTCGGAGTTTGTTGAGCTGTATAACTAGTATCGCTTCCATAACTGTTCGGTCCTGAACTGGGTGGATAATATACTCTATTGTTTTGGGGTGGTGCTGCATAACTGGAACCACTGTTTGAACCATACGACGGCTGATCACCATAATTATTTCCTAAAAGTGAAGGAAAACAGTTGGTAAACTTCGGAAAACAGCTTTGCATCGTCGAACTTTCTACTTTAATTTACAATTACCGACTGCAGCATTATTAGCCGATGACAACTCACCTGAATTGTAGGATGGTCGAGTTCCATAATTGTTTGGAGCTGAATAAGTCGGAGTTTGTTGAGCTGTATAACTAGTATCGCTTCCATAACCGTACGATCCTGAACTGGGTGGGTAATATAATTTACCGGTATTGGTGAGTGCTGAAAAAACGAAAAAGCTTGAAAATTTGTAAATATTCAGAAAGTATATTCCAGTGGTACATACTTGGACAAAACTCAGATTTCGCTGGTAAAGAATCGCAGTTGATTGACGAAAGATCATATGCAGAACATCGATTTTGAACAGCTAAAAGGATCGTCTATTGAACTATATGAATATTACAAAGTTAAAAAACTAACCTCTACAGAAACTGGCACATGGTAATATCGCTTGCTCTTTACATGGTGGAAATAGTAAAGGACAAATAAACATACGAAGATGTTTGAAACATGGTGCATCAAATGCTGGTTGAAACAGAGCCAGCTGTTGATTTATTTCATATTTTTGTTGATGATTGAACCAATTTGGCAAGACGTATGTTGTTTGTGGTAACACCGAACAATATGTTGAAAATGCTGGATAACTGGTATCAATTATATTGTAACACGCATTGTCTTTAGTGCCGCTACCACTTGTACTTCCGCCTACCGCACCACCAACTGGGGCTGCAGCAGCGCCACCGATTGGAGCTGCAACGGCGCCGCCGATTGGAGCTGCAACAGCGCCACCGATTGGGGCTGCAACAGCGCCACCGATTGGGGCTGCAACAGCGCCACCGATTGGGCCTAAAGTAAAACGACGTTAAAGGAATGTGAAGTGGTCGTAGTAAATGACAGAAAGAAAAAGAGGCTACAGAGCTGCCATAAAAAATTATTTAGATAAGTTTTTTATTTCTTAAAGTTCCGTGATTTAGTAGAAAAAAAGACCTTGTTCGTTTTGTTAACGCATTTAGGCGCCTCATACCACATCTGTTCTTTAACTAGTTTTAAGAGCTCAATTCTCAAATCTAACTAGCATTGTTAACAAAAAGAGAATAACAGAAAAATCAGATATAATACCTGCAATTGGAGGCACTCCACCGCCAATAGGAAACGGAGGAGGAATGCCGACGCCTGGAAAAGGTGCACCGAATATTAATGGAACGGGTACAGGAACTGGAAATGGTGATGGTCTAAAATTTGAAAGAACATAATCTAAACTTCGAATATATTCTAAAGTAGATAGCATGCTCAAACAAGTACCTGTATTCTACATATCTTCCACCATAGGAACGGTGTTTGTTATATGATCGATCTTTGTAACTGGAATCATCATTTCCATAATCTTTATCTCGGTAAGAATCCCCTTTATTATATGAACGGTCTTTTGAATAACTGTAGTCATCGGTTTTATATGAATCATCATACGACCGGCTTCGTGAATTGTAATCATCCTTTTTATACGAATCATCATACGACCGGCTTCGTGAATTGTAATCATCTTTTTTATACGAATCATCATACGACCGGCTTCGTGAACTGTAATCATCCTTTTTATACGAACCATCATACGACCGGCTTCGTGAATTGTAATCATCCTTTTTATACGAATCATCATACGATCGACGTGAATCGTAATCGTCGTTATCTTCATACGAATCGCTATATGATCTTCTTTCTGGTCTTAATGTTTCGAGATAACCAGCTAGAGAATGATTAAAATCATTTAAAATTCTTTAATTTTCACTTTCAAAAATCGTAACTTACTAGCATAAGAATAGGCGGACAAGAAGGTGACTAGCATAGCACATTGTAACAATAACTAAAAATCAAATTGAACATTGTTCACAAATATGATCAGTTAAATGTATATCTTCACGGTTAACTGCGGTACATGTATTAGAAAGAGAAGACTCACCGAAGTCATTGTACGTAAGTGACGTCAAAACTATAAGGGTCCTCGTACAACTTCTGCAAACAGAAACTGACCATGAATGTGCAGTTAACAACTTTTTTATACTAGATGTGTATTTTATGTTATTTTCACTAGTCGAAACAAACAAAGGTTTCTCTGTTTTCTCAATAGAGAGTGATGAAATTCTAGGTAAAAAGTATTCTAGATTTCTACGAAAAAGTTTCGTCAATTTTAACTCACATTGTACGAAACTTTCTTTCTCTTTTCTATCTAGAACACTCTTTATGCCTGATGATCATGTGTATATCAGCTATTGTCCATATGTAGAATATGACGCAACGTGATGGATATATATTTTTCAACAGAAGAAAAGAAAGATTATCAAATTTTATCATAGATCAATGTGAACAGATGTTGAATAAAATATACTGATAGAAAAACTGAACTTTAGGCAGAAAGAATCTAAGAACGATACCTTTCTTTTATTCTTATATTATATCCAGTGCACTTCAAGGATTTTAAAGAATTTCCAGTGCGCGTGTTTTTAAAAGATATATGTTCTACCCACATCTTGCGACTAAAAAGTACACGCATACCAGTCTACACTTGTAAAACAGAAAAGTTACCAAAACAGCCCTACGAAAAAAGGAAGAAAAGCGACGCAAAGAACCAGTCGGATAACACTATTCTACAAAGTAAACACAGGATGCGGTAAATTTAAAAAAAATCAATACTGTTCTCTTCGTGCGTTTCTGTAAAGATGAATAAGAAAAATATCGTGTGAATCGAGAGAGAGAATACTTATTTACAAATATCTACAAGGAGATGATCTCCTATTCAGCCTGTACGATATTCGAACCTCCATTTAGACCACTTTTATTATGGAAGATTTTAAACAAACACAGACATGTTACATTGCCAGAAAATATTTTAAAAGAGTCATTCAGTTAAAATGTTGCCTCCCACAGATTGTCAACGGTAGTGGCAATAGCTTGTGAAATTTATCAAAGTCTTTCACAATTTGGAACAATCTATTACAACCTAGAAGTTTTTTCCTACAAAGTGGAAGAGAGTTAAAACTCCTTTTGTTTTAGAAAACTTGTCTTCTTCAGTGTGTTTGATGAAACTGATCGGCTATTCGTCATCTCTGATAACAGAAAAATTCTATGATATGTTTTTTAAACAAAAGAAAAAGAAAAAGAGTTTGACAATAGTACTACATGTGAAAAGTAAAGTGAACTATTTTTCTGTTTGGCTTTGTTCGACGAGAATATGTATGGCCTAGAATGCAAACTATAGAAGATTCTTCTTTATTCGTAAAAGCATAGAGAGAGATATGGTCAGGTATAAAAGAAGTGTGTTGATCACTAATCGTCAGTCAGTTTGCTTACTAATCGGTCTGCAAAAGTTGAAGTAGTTTTTCTTATCTATCGTTATTTCAAATCTATACAATGACTTTGGTAAGCAGTTTTTCTGTTCAAGAAAACAGATTCTACAATTTAATTGTTTAGTTGTTATTACAATGTGCATTGTTGGTCACACTGATGTCCACGTATTCTAATGCTGGTACGTAACCATTGCAAAGTGACAAATTTTCAGTAATTCTAAATGATTTTTAATGGTGTTTTAGATTATGGAGATAGTTATAGAACGGCATCAAGACAAAATGCCGACTACAGTGGACTTCTTAATGACAGAAATATTAAAACACAAGTTTCATCATCATTCGTAGGCCGTCCAATGTAAGAGAAAAGGAGAATAGTTAAGTCTAATAGACAAATAAATCACATTTAAAATATTCTTGCTTTAGTGCCTTCGACACTGTACGAAGAAGCAATGTTGCAATGACACCACAATATGGTTTTGCAGCAAAGGATGAAATGCGACCAAGTTCCGGTTATGCTCAGAGCCGTGTTTTGAACTTTGATAATGAAAGACGAACACTTCCAACAACTGGTTATGGTCAAATAAGTGTGATGAGTTTTGATGAAAAACCAATAGTTCCACAAGGTATGTTCTCTTTTTTCAAATTTAGTTATCAACAGAAATATTCGTTTTCTTCTTACCGCAGGTCCATCCCCATGTTCGTCTGCAGCAATTGGTCAACGTCTACCAAATCCAGCTGATAGAAGCAGTTACATTGTCTGTCTTGATAAAATACGTTATGAAGTTATGTCATGTCCAATTGAATTAGTATTTAATGACGTACTCGATCAATGTGAAAGAGTTACAGATGAAGAAGCTGTGTGCAGAGAAAATCCTTGCATGAATGGTGGACAATGTTATGCAACATCACCTCAAACATTCAAATGTACGTGTTTGGAAGCGTTCACTGGTGAAAGATGCGAAGTACCAATTGGTAGTTGTGCAAAACAACCATGTGGGCCTGATGCTGAATGCTGGACATTGAGAGCCGAAGATTATCCACAAGATTATGTATGTCTTTGCAACAGCAGACGGTCGTACGGTTTAAGTTGTAGTCAGAGTAAGTCCTCTGAATAAGTAAAGTCGAATGATTCACTTATTGATTATTGGTTGTTTTTCTAGCTGTTCCAGATCCGTGCTCAGAAGAGAGTCGTGAACTCGTACAATATTATCCATTTGCCTTTAGTAAACAAGCCTATGTTCAATGCAATGGTGAAATCACTCATTTCAGACCATGTCCATCTGGTTTATTGTGGAGTCAAGAAGAAAAAGCATGTAGATGGCCAGAGATGCCAACACAACAGCAAGATTACGTTTCTCTGCAACGAGTAAATACCTATCAACAACGTCCACAATATGACCGTTCGATTTCACAAAATACATATGGATCACAGTTTTCCGCACCGAGCATTGACAGAAGACAACAAAATGATGTTACTTCACAATCTTCATATCAACAACAGCCCATTAACACCTATGGCAGCAGTCAAGTCTTCGATGTAAAAGAACAACAATTTTTGGATCAACAACGTAGACGACACAAGCATCACCACTCACATACTCAAAAACAAAGATTATTTGGTGATGTTACAAGTTCATATGCAAATCGTAAGTAACGAGAACTCTTTAGATTCAATTCAGACGGCGAGTAGTGACTGTTATCAAAGCGAAAGGGAAGACAAGTAATGTATTTTATATTAGTTAGTGTAGATATATCTGGCCAGCTACAGTAGAAGTCTTGTTGATAAAACATCGATATATAGTTTAAAAATGATCACAATTTGCTTTTACAGATAATCAACAACAAGAAGCATACTTTCAGAAACAGCAAGTACAACCAGTCTCATCGGTAGCTTTGGATATAAATACATACCGCAGTCAACCATCATCAAGTTATGGAACATCCAATCTGTTAGGGCAGAATGCTCAGAGCGATATGGTTTCAGCTCGTCGTGTTAATTCTGGATTATTCAATAGTCAATCTCTACCACTAGTCCGAAAACAATCAGAATATAGAAGAAAACGTCAATACGGAAGTCAAGTCCAGCCATTAGCCGATATCACCATCCAGCAACCACTTGTCAGTTCTGGATACGGTTCATCAAGTCAATTAAAACAACGTGACATGCGATTATCTAGTGATCTCGTGGGCCCATCAATAAGTCAGTATGGCAGTCAACAATCTTATGGTGGTAGTCAAGTCCAGCCATTAGCCGATATCACCATCCAGCAACCAATTGTCAGTTCTGGATACGGTTCATCAAGCCAATTCAGACAAAGTGACATGCGATTATCTAATGATTTCGTTCGCCCATTAAAAAGTCAATATAGCGGTCAAATTCAAAAACAACTAGATATAACTCCACAATCGTCTGGCTATGGATCCAGCATGTTGAAAGTAAATGTTCAAAATGATCGTCCAATGACACAATTGATCCAATCTTCATATCAACAACAACCAATGAATACATTAGGATACTCGAATCAACAAATTGTCGGTGGTGGTCTAATGGAACAACAAGTTAGAGTTCAATTAACGCTTGCTGGTAATACTTGTTTCTAGAGAATGACTTAATTATAGTGAATAACTTTTCTTATTTGTTAGATCAAATATGCGACGGACAACGACCTGAGACTGTTATCCCTCATCCAGCTACAACAAGAAAATTCATCGTTTGTCTTGATAGTTCAAAAGGAGCCGAATTATCATGTCCAGATGGTTTACATTACAGTACCGTCACAGGTCAATGCGAAAGAAGTGCGTACATTCTTGTTGTTGAATTTACTATAGAATTCTTACTAAAATAGTATGTTTGATTAGAATACAAACAAGTTCGGGGAAATAACATATCAGCCTTTCAATTTGAAGTTTGCTTGATAGTAAACATGCATTTTTCTTTTAGAACCGGGCCAGACTGAATCACCATGTGCATTGAACCCATGTCTCAACGGTGGTCGATGCGTTGAAGAAGGTTCATCATACAGATGCGACTGTCCACAAGGAATAGGTGGCACACAGTGTGAATTGGATGTAAGCGCTTGTCTTCAGAATCCATGCGGTCAAGGACAATGTCAAAGTTTTCGATTTGGTGCTGCTTTAACATACGTCTGCATTTGTCAAGGTGATACATATGGTCCAAACTGTCAGCAAAGTAAGCAAAAAGAAAGAGTTAACTTCAGTCAAAATAACAAATTTGTTCACTCTCTTTTTATAGCATTACCAAACCCATGTCGAGAAGATGATACACTTCCATTGGGCTTCACTGACAAAGGTTTTATTATATGCGACAGTAACCGATTTTTCGTCGAAACTTGTCCAGGTGGTTTAATTTGGAATAATGGTGAAAAAGCATGCGCATGGCCTGGTGTTCAAATTCAGCTCCAAGATCAATCGGGTACGTGCACTAAGAGAGATGTTTTCTTATATTAAACTGATAATGAAGTCCTGAGACCCTACTATTGGTTAGAGAGCTTTTCATTTCGTTAAAGGTTAAATATCGCTTTGGAAAAACTCAAATCATAACAAATTCTCATTTTCATTTTAGACTACTATTCAAAAGGCAACATTCAAATGCAACCAGCTCAATATGGTCAACTATCTGATCTAACACAACGACGATCAGGCATCGATTCATATTCAGCTCCACAATACTCGAACCAACGACTATCACTTGACTTATCAAGTCAACGAAACAGTGGTTATGGAGAGAAATTACTTCGAAACCAACCATTTCACAAACGAAAACATCATAAACCAACTTTCGCCCAAGAAGAAAAATTATTCGAGTAAGTTATCCCTTTTGCCATATCTTTGATCGACAATAGCTGATGTGTTCGGTGTATTTTATCTGTGTTTTCGTGGTAATTCTCGTCACTTTCTCACTTTTTCAGTGATGTGACTTCCTATTCAAGTCAACAACAAGTGCCCACATCTGAACTATCCTATAGTGGTCGTCAAATCCAACCATTAGCCGATATCAGCATCCAGCAACCAATTGTCAGTTCTGGATACGGTTCATCAAGTCAATTAAAACAACGTGACATGCGATTATCTAGTGATCTCGTTCAACAACAACGCCTACCATCTGTTCCTCAAGGTCTATCAACATCACAAGAATCACCCATCACTGGTTATGGCAAATAAATTTTTAAAATGAATAATAACTACAACAACGTAAAGAGAAACAATAAGAACTATATACATGTGTGAACGTCAAATTGTGCGCATGTATGAAATTTTTCTCTGTCTATATACTATCTCAGTTTTTGTATTTTTCTCCGAAACAGTGTTTTGTTTTCCGTTTTACATTTTTTTCTTACTAAACGGTTCGTAACTTAATCTTTTTTATCATTTGTTTTGCTTGATTGTCAAGAAAATAAAAAGCATTTTCGGCACAAAATAGTTGATTTCATTCGAATTTATGGCTGACGGACAAGCGAAACGATGCAACAGAAGTTGCCTAACAACGGCACAAGCAACGACAAAACAGGCAAAGATTTTCATAGTGGTTCAGTACTTTGTCGATGGTATATCCTTAAGCATTCGGTCAATATTTTTCGTGAAAGCAAACAGATTTATAGCAGCAGTACAGTTTTATTTTAATAACTCAAATCGGTATTTCACTCATGTCAAGATTACGAAAGTGGCCAAAGCTCAAACACTTTATGTGTGGGAAAAGAAGTCAACATGTTTAAGAGTCATTTGCTAGTGGAATGTGTCTCGTCAAAATCTTACTTCTCAGAGAAAGGTTTTAAAGTGTCAGGCGAATAGTCAAGAGAGACGAGAAGTATTGATTCGATATTTATTCCTCCAGCCTCTTCGTTTGAGCGTGCGTACAACTTGGTTCTGATTCTTCTATATGAAAAATTTACGTTTATTTGTGCCGAAACGGAAAAGGAAACAACTGTTTGCCTTAAAATGCGTAAAAAATGTCGTGCTTACAAAATGAAATTTCCAGTTTCCAATGCACAATAGCAGGTTTAAATAGTTGAACAAAAAATTCGCCCAATTCAAAAATACATCACAGTGCGACATCATCTTCAAAACACAGGTATCTCTTCTTCTAAGCCAGTAGGATTCTTTTGAACAGCAACGTTGGTTTCAACCAGCTTCCCATGAGAAGAAGATGGATAATGAATTCTCACATTGACATATTGATTTCTGGGAAGGCGAACCTGAAACAAGAGAAAGAATCCATATGACATTTAGTGTGCACATTCAGTCTGAGTCTGACGGCTCAAGTTACTTTGTCTTAGCTTGCGATGAGACTGTTTTGCTCTGATGCAACATGACTAGGCATGAAAAACATATATGCACAATCACCAGAGCACCACGGACGCGACGTTTCGAGCCACTCATTTTTCTTCTCTCATCTCGTTCGTCGAGGTAAACGCAGACTAAATGGCTTCATCAAAAGTTAATGCATGTGTGTCACAAAAATCTCGACGAGCTGAATATGAATACAGAGAAATAGAAACTCTGCCTAACTAACGAGGATTAAAACACCGATATTTTCATACAAGCGCTATTTTTCGCAAACAGTCTATCCTAGGTACACGTCACAACTGAAACATGGTATGTCAAGATCTAGAGTTTTGTATGACAGTTGGCTCTATGATGGTGTTCCTTATCGTACGTATCCGG